TGAGCTACAGCGCCACTTCCAGTTTTCTGGTGGTTTATTGGAGATAGGAGTCTCACGGTCTCGTCTCTCCTGCCCAGGCTGGCTTTGAACCGCGATCCTCAGATCTCAGCCTCCTGAGTAGCTAGGATTACAGGCGTGAGCCACCAGCGCCCGGCTATTTTAGGAAGAATTAAAGGCACTCAAAGGTTCTCAACAGCAAATCATAAGAAGATAAAAACTTAAAGTTACCTTCATTGTATACACTATGTTGAAATCAACACACCATGCCTCACAAAAATGTACCATTAGCATGTTACTAATTTTTAAAATACCAGTGGAAAATTGTAGACAAAGGTAGAAGTAATAGCTCTCCCATGATTGCACAAAATACTTAAAAGGTGGCAAAATGTCGATCCAATGACTACACCTAAATGTGATATCTTTATTTACAAGTGTGGTTGTCAGAATACAACAGTTGTGTCAATTCCAGGAAGAATTTCTCTTTTCATGATCACTGCATTCAGTGAAATGTGGTATATCTTATCTGTTCAATCTTTCTCACTCAGCTGGGCTAGATTCCATGTACAGATTACATATATATTATTATATATGTTATATGTCATGGTAGTCAGAGCAAGCTGACTCTTGACTTGAACCAATAGCTGCAGGGTTTGAAGGACCAGATCTCAGAAAAGAAAGTGAAGTCATTTATATCTCTACTCCATAAGTTATTCTAGTATCAATTGGCTTTCCATAAACATTATCATATGGTGCTTTCCTTTGGGCCTTTGGAATATCTTCATATTGGTTAAGATTTTCCAGAGTTTGATCAAAACGGAAGCCTGTGAAAAAGACCCAGAATTAGAGGCCTGGTGAGGTGAGGTAAGGTAAGATAGTCTCACTCAATATGCGATTATATGTACTGGGTGAGATCTAATCCATATTCCTCTTCACTTCTCTCAGAGCATATATGTTTGTATGCTGTTTATCTGAAGCCATATTTGCCCCCACATTAATAGCTAACTGGTTCAGGGTAAGTACTGAAATTTGCAAAGGCTCAGTTATCTTCAGCTATACAACTGAGATAATATTTTTTTATGTAGAAAAGGTGTTTTTTAATTAAACAGTCTTCATTTCATTTACTACATACAAAAGTTTGACTATATTAAAATAATTATCTTTTCTTTGTCTTTATTAATAATAATACATAGAAGTTTTATCTAATTACATAATCTTCCATTCCCTTTATAAATCCTTCTATAATCGTTTCTTAAATGACTACTGCTATTTCTTCTACATTTTGCTATGGACTCTATTCAGTCTATATCTTAAATTTAAATTATCCATGTTAACATCATCAGTCTTTTAACATAGTTACTTCCAAATTGCAATTCAAAGCTATTATATTTAAGCATGTCATTTTTTATATTTCTAAACAATTTTGATACTATTCTTCTTGCTACTCAAAAATGTTGTTGTATGTGAATTATAACAAATATCTTAATGATTTCTTATTTCATGAACAAAAGTTGATAAAATTTGAATGATGATTTTTTTTGTAAAGTTTTTATAGGTTTTTAAGAACATTTTTTTTTTTTGGTCTGTCGTGGGGCTTGAATTCTGGGCCTGGAACTGTCCCTCAGCTCTTCAGCTCAAGGTGAGATAATATTTTTGTGTGACATTGATGTGATGTGCTTTGAGAGAACTTAGCCTCATGTCTGGCATCTTGTGCTCCATAATTAACTACCATTGAATAGTTATTAGTTTGTTTTTGTACCAGTCCTGGTGCTTAAACTTAGGGCCTGGATGCTATCCCTGTGCTTCTTCATTCAAGTCTAGCACTGTACCACTTGAACCACAGCTCCACTTCCAGCATTTTGGTGGTTACTTGGAGATAATAGTTTCATGAAATTTCCTGGCTGGCTTTGAACCACAATCCTCAGATCTCAGCTGCCTGAGTAGCTAGATGGTGCTGGTTCTGGTTTCCAACATTTTGAAGCTTTTTGGTTTGCTTATTAAAAATTATGACTAAGGGGGCCGGAAATGTGGCTTACTGGTGGAGTGCTTGCCTAGCATGCATGAGACCCTGAGTTCAATCCCTCTGTACCACATGAATAAAATAAATTCTAAAAAAATTATGACTGAGCTGGGCACTTGGCTCATGCTTGTAATCCTAGGAAGCTGAGATCTGCAGATTATGGCTCAAAGCCAGCCCAGGAAGAAAACAAATTAACCACCAGGAAACTGGAAGTGGAGCTGTGGCTCAAAGTGGTAGAGTGCTACTTGAGCAAAAAGAGCTCAGGGACAGCACCCTGGCCCTGAGTTCAATCCCTACCCCCTACCCCCAAAAAAAATTATAATTCAACCCATATGCAGCTCAACAATTCCATTCCTGAATGACAATCTTTTCTGAAAAGGTAAAAATAACTTGGTAATCTCACTCATTCCTATGCTGTGTGAGCTCTGGAAATGTTGGATGCTTAGAAATACGTTTATATGTAAGATATCATTTTTGTTCATTGAGAATTTTCCATAAAGTATTGCTAAAAAAAAATCACTTACCCTGGAAGTTAACTGATGAGTTGCTTGTAGCAATTTGCTTCCAATTGGCAATATACCTAAAGTACATTATAAGGACATTAAATAGACTGACTTGTGATAACTTAGTTCATGATTAATCTCAATGTTCAATTCTCACTTTTCTTCGTCCTTAAGCAGGCAGCTAAGGCAGCCTCCAGGACAGAGTTGAAAATGTCAAACCTATCATTTGGGGCCTTCTTCCCTTTTGCCTCCCTCCAGCATGTTTCTTCATATTATGAAGTTTCTTTCCTGTAAGATCCTGCATTGAGTACCTAACAAAGATGTTAGCTAATTACTTTTAAGTTAAAAATTTGGACTGAAAACTCTCAACTATAGCATCTCCAGGAAAAATGACAAGAAAACCTTTTTGATTTGCATTTCCCTCAAGAATATATTAAATAAGTTAAATTCCCTTGACAGAGGGCTGGAAAGATTTTGCTCAGGGCTTTAGACCTGATAAGAGATTACTACTCAAGCCATGCCCCCTGACCCTCAGACTAAGGGTAGGGTGTGTGTGTGTGTGTGTGTCTGTGTGTGTGTGTCTGTGTGTGTGTCTGTGTGTGTGTGTCTGTGTGTGTGTGTCTGTGTGTGTGTGTGTCTGTGTGTGTGTGTGTCAGTGTGTGTGTGTGTGTCTGTGTGTGTGTGTACATGTGTGCCAGTCCTGAAGTTTAAACTTAGGGCCTGGAGGCTAGTACTCTACCACTTGAGCCACAGATCCACTGCCAGCTTTTTCATGGCTAATTGAAGAAAAGAGTGTCATGGACTTTCCCTGTGCAGGCTAGCTTTGAACTGTGATCCTCAGATCGCAGCTTCCTAATTAGCTAATTACAGGCATGAGCTACCAGTACATAGCTATACTTTTTTTTGGGGGGGGGTGGGTCTGGTTGTGGGGCCTGAACTCTGGGCCTGGGCGCTGTTCCTCAGCTCTTCAGCTCAAGGCTAGCGCTCTACCACTTTGAGCCACAGCACCACTTCTGACTTTTTTCTTTTTGCTTATGTGGTGCTGAGGAATCGAGCCCAGGGCCTCATGCATGCAAGGCAAGCGCTCTACCACTGAGCCACCTTCCCAGCCCCCTAGCTATACTTTTTATACAATTACATGTTCTTAACCTTGTTTCTAAACCTCAAAGTAATAAGAGTTACACAAAGACATAAAATTAGAATCAAAACACCTTGGTCTAATTTTCTGTTTTTTGGTTTTGTTCCTTTCTTTCTTTCTTTTTTTCTCTTTCTTTTTTTTTTTTTTTTGTCTGTCATGGGGCTTGAACTCATCCTTGGTGCTGTCTGCTGTCCCTCAGCTCTTCAGCTCGCGTTCTGCCATTTGAGCCACAGTGCCACTTCCGGTTTCTGGTGGTTTATTGGAGAGAAGAGTCTCCCAGACTTTCCTGCCCAGGCTGGCTATGAACCTGGATCCTCAGATCTCAGCCTCCTGAGTAGCTAGGGCTCCTAAGTAACTAGAATTACAGGCATGAGCCACCAGCACCTGGCTTGGTCTAATTTTTTATATCTCTTTTTTTCTTTTCCTGCTTAGATAAATGATTCTTTTTTAAAATATTTTTTTGGAAAGAGCATGTTTGTGGTCCCAAGATTCAACCTAGAAATTGGAAATGCCAGGAAGAAGGAACACATGCTTTGTCTTGCCCGCTATGGTGGCCTATGTACTTACTCATCAAAGTTGAGTGTGTTGGTCCAGTTCAGTACTTCATCCACCTCCCACTCCATCACAGAATCTACCCCACCCTCCTCAATTGTTCTTATTAGTCCTTCAGTGGCTGTGTGAATTAAATCTATGGTTTCATAATTAGAAGTCTTGGCAGCCAGGGTTCCAGTGTAGTACCTAGAGGAAAGGAAGAGACGTAGATCCTCACATGCTCTTGACAATTACTGCTGCTACCTACACATTCACACTATTTTACATGGTAAACCAAGTTTTCATTCTATATAAATGTGTCTAAAACAAGACCTCCATGTTGGAAACTTTGTGCAGGGGAGGACTCAGTGGGAAAAGAAGCAACTTAATCACATTAACCAGAGAGGCCTCACTGAAAAGTCTCTTCTCCTTATGGGCAGCCTAAGTTTATATGCATGCAGGAGAACACAGCAATGAAACCTGTTGGAATTGTTTTAAGAGGAAGAAAGTAGAGTGGGAAAGAGTGATGGAGGGGATGAGATTGATTAAGATATATTGTACACATGTGGAAATGTCATAACGAAACATCCCTTGTACAACTAATGTCAAAAATTCTGTCAGTAAGTGTGTGTGTGTGTGTGTGTTTATCCTAGGGCTTGAACTCAGGGCCTGGGCTAGCCTAGCACTCTACCACTTGAGCCTAGCTCCACTTCTGGCTTGTGGATGGTTAATTGGAGATAAAAGTCTTATGAACTTTCCTGCCTGGGCTGGCTTTGAACCATGATCCTCAGATCTCAGCTTCTTGAGTAGTTAGGATTATAGGCATAAGCCTGTAAGGACTCAGCTTTGAGATACAAAGAAAAAAAACAGCTTACCTAATCACTGAATCATAGAAATATGGAAACGAGCTTAGGCACCAAATAGCAAACACACTCATTTGATAGGCAAGGGACTAGTTGGGGGATTCAGTTACTTCTACCAGATATTTTTCATATGTTTTCTTATTTCTTTTTAAAAAGAATCAGTTGTTGGCGGCTATTATTCTCATTTCTGCCTTTTTTTTTTTCAGATGAAGACATTGAGATTTGGAAATTTTTCAGGACCATGATATAGTAAATACCTAGGAAGCCAGTATTCAAACTTGACTAAGTCCAGCCACCAACTTTGATATTACTTTGATCTCCTATCTGTACATGCACCAAACCAGTGAGCACAGATAAGTCAACAGCTCTTACTAAGGACACTGGAGCAGAGTCATGCATTGCTCCTCAGCCAGGAAGAAATGTCCTGAGAAATGAGATGCCAGTTGATTTTCTCATGTAATTATTGGGGTGTACATACACAAATCTGGCTTTGTGAACTACACCAAAGGCTATGTGGCATAGCTGTGGCTTCTAGGTTACAAACCTGTACAGAGTGTGACTGTCGTAAAATCTGAAGGTCAACCTTCTGTTCCATTCATTCACATGGTCAGTCTTCATGCCAGAATGAAAATGTCATAGCAGCTTTAGGAGTCTTGAAACCAAGTAATATAAATTCTCCACATTTGTTTTTCTTTCGATACTATATGTTTCATTAGTCAGCCTAAGTCGGACACCTACTTACATCTGTTTCATCCATTCTATCTTTTTAATCTTCCTTTTCTTTTCTATATCCTGCCTTCTCTTCAGCTTAGAGAAATGGAATTCTGTTTCCTTTTGGCTTTCCACGATCTCATTGTCTGTTGGTAACCAAAACTGTTGAGAAATGAAAATGAATAGGCCAAGTGTTGCAATCTGGGTTGTGTGTCTAGCTTGCTATAGACAGGAACAGAAGAGGGAGTCTACCATCCCAAGCTATTCAATGACACATTGAAATTTCAGAAGTGTGTGCATAGAAGAAGATCACATACTTTATACTGAGGTATTTCGTAAGTATTCAGTGAATGAATGAACGAATGAACAAGTCAGTGTATCTTTAGGGTACATGAGGTAGTTCACTGCTTGTCCTACAAAATTAAGTGAGGGGATGGGTAAGAATGATGATATGGGTAACATTGATCAAGGTGCATTGTATTCATAAACTGCTTTGTTGAATGGCAACTCCTTTATATAACTACTTAAAGATAATAATTTTTAAAAGAGTGGCTGTTGGGACTGGGAATGTGGCTTAGTGGTAGAGTGCTTGCCTAGCATGCATGAAGCTCTGGGTTCAATTCCTCAGTACCACATAAACAGAAAAACCAGAGGTGGTGCTGTGGCTAGCCTTGAGCAAAAGAAGCTCAGAGATAGTGCCCATACCCTGGGTCCAAGCCCCAGGACTGAAATAAAAGAGTATGTTGTATCATCTCAGATGAGTATACCTAGGATACCATTGGTACTTTTTGGCTTTTGATGATGCCAGACTGGGAGGAGCACAGACACCCAACAGAACACAGAGGTACAACTATGACTGACTAAGACTTCGTCCACATGACATTTATCTTCTAGTTGGTTGCCTGTTTTCCCACTTCTAATCCATGCCTACATCTGTACCATCCAGTAGCATCAAGGGGAGCCTTTATTGCCTTCATGACAACACTGCCTGCCCTGTGAAACTACCAAACATACCGACTGCATTCTACCTAGGGGTCCTGTTTGCCTCCACTGTCTTTCTAAGTGAAAGGTGGATCATGGGAGGGGGCGGGTAAGGGTTGGGAGAAGGGATGGCCACCTTTACCATTGCTTCAACTGACCCATGACTGATGCTTTGCAGAGGACTGAATCCACATGCTAGTCACTTTCAACCTTTCATATTTACCGTCTAAGTATACCATCCACATCGTACAACCTGCATATCTAACCTGCTGAGTCCACAGAGAGCCTAGTTTCAAAGCTAGGTATTGAAAATAGAAGCAAATATTCAGAAAAGCAGATTATTTTGCTATCCTTAGAATATCTGTAATGCCTCAGTAGCTGGAAACTTTTATCAACTAAATTGCTAGCAATTACTATTTTTAAATTTAAGGGTTCAAGACAGATATCAATAGCTCATATCGTAAGCCTATCTACTCAGGAGGCTGAGATCTGAGGATCATGGTTCAAAGCCTGCCTTGGCAGCAAAGTCCATGACATACCTATCTCTGATTAATCACACACACACACAGAAAAAGCCAGAAATGGAGCTGAGGCTCAAGTGGTAGAACACTAGCCTTGAGCAACAAATCTCAGGGACAGTGCCTGGGCCCTGAGGTCAAGCCCCAGGACCAGTAAAATAAATACATAAAAACTGACAAATTCAGGTTTCAAATGGCATGGATTTTTAAATACATAAAATTAAAAAATTATTACTATAGTTTTGCTCCTTACTCTTTCAGAGACAGGCCTCCATCCATTGTTTTCCACACGCCGGTACCAGCCACTCCGATCTGTGTCCTGAATTCTATTATTTTTGTTGTGAGACAGGTGTTTTGCCACAAGTTTTGTGTAATCTCTAGGGCTGTTAGCACACAAGTCTTCAACGTGTCTGTGAGTATAAATTTTATAGTATATTTCAGGTGGAAACTTCACCTGTGGATGGAAAAGTTCAAAACACCATTGTAATGCAGTTGCAGACAATGGTTTACAATTTTATTTTTTTAAATCACAGCTTTCCAGTTTCACATAAACATGCTTTGCAACCACCACATTAGAACTCAGGTATACTTACCCCACCTAATCTGAATCGTACGTGGATGCCAGCAGCTGCATCCAGAAGCTCAGCCTAAAAGACATCAACATACTGTAAGTATCAGCAAATACTTCTCACTCTATTATTTCTTTTTTTAATGTATATTTTTATTGTAAAGATATTGTACAGAGGGGTTACAGTTACATGAGCAAGGTAATGAGTCCATTTCCTATGGAGCATTGTTATACCCTCCTTTATATTTCCCCTACCATCCCTTACTTCCCCAACTCCTCCCTCCCCTTTCCCACTACCCCTCTCCCCCCCCCTCCGTAAAATTGTAAAGTTCATTATCAACATACTGTCTTGTAGGTCTCATTGTTACAATGGGTCATCCTGTATCCTTGTTTTTTTCACTCTATTATTTCATGATAGCTTCTGAGTATTATTTCTAGAAGATGTTTTTGTGCCAGTTCTGGGGCTTGAACTCAAAACTATGGTTGCTATCCCTGAGCTTTTTTGCTCAAGGCTAGCATGCTACCATCTGAGTCACAGCTCCACTTCTAGTTTTTTTAGGTGGTTAATTGGAGATAAAAAAAAAAATCTCAGGAATGGGGCTGGGAAGGTGGCTCAGTGGTAGAGTGCATGCCTTGCAAGCATGAGGCCCTGGGTTCGATTCCTCAGCACCACATAAACAGAAAAAGCCGGAAGTGGTGCTGTGGCTCCAGTGGTAGAGCGCTAGCCTTGAGCTGAAGAGCTGAGGGACAGCGCCCAGGCCCAGAGTTCAGGCCCCAT